GGGGTAGCAGCAGCAGAAGTACACTGCAATACCCAGACTAAATTCTCCGTAATGGCGAGGTGAGTCAGTCGCCTTAATTAGTTTAGTCTTTCTTCTCCCTCTCTCTCTTGTGGAGTCATTAATGTCGACAAGAACATTTTTCTCTCATTTGAACGGGTAAATAATGAAAGCGGAGCGACAGTGCGGAGGGGGTGGGGGGCAGTGGGTGGTGGGCTAGTCACAACTTTTTAAAGCAGCAGGAAGGCAGCAATTAACAGGATCTGACAACCCAGAGGGACGCACAAGCGCACACACTCAGGCACACAACACACACTCAGATACAGTCAGTACATGCGAACATGCACACTCACTGTTTGCAAACCCCAGAGCAACGTATTTCTTGAAAACCTGAAGACGTGAACACGTATTTCATTCACCTTCATCAGACGTTTTTTTACTGAATAACAAAAACTACTCACACGAAATGTATCCTGAGCTCTTTGTAATGCCCCTCAGTGTGTCACCGAGACCCGAGTCTGGACTTTTCCATCAAGGTGAGAAACCCTCTACATCAAAACAGCCGCAATTCCATCAGAGAGATAGATGGACCATTGTTCAATTAGCAGATGAAAGCTGTAATTGTTTGGATGCTGCTCTCCTCCGTAAATTCAGCAGTGATAATTAATTGTAGTGAGTAAAAACACTCATCAGGGAGATGAACCATTAGAGAGGCAGGTAAACAAACCCTTATCTATTACGGGTGAGTGGCTGATAGGGATTGATGAGAAAAGTTTTATTTTTACACAAAAAAAACAACAAAAGAAAGAATCGTAAAACTTTTCTCGCATTCAATCCAAATGAGAGGCATGTGCCCGTGGGTCAAAAACCGAATGCGTCATCATAATCGAGATTTAATTGCATTGTTTAATTGGTTGTTATTTTTCTCTTTCTTTGGTTGATTTGTCGACCGGGTTGATCGTTCATGCAAAAGCTAAATAGCTGTCAAAACAAGGGGAAGCTTTTATTGTGAAGCAGTGACAGGAAACACAATGTGTTTGTCAGCGATACTGTGATTATTAGTAAACTGTTTTGTAATAGACAAAGCAACACAACACAAATGTAATTATGAGATAGTACAGATTAATTACAGATTTATGATTACAAGGAGCTGCATACCAAAGCAGCAGATGAGAACAGAAGATGTCTGAGAGGAGCCATGCACGTAGAGGGCGCTATCTGCACCACACCTCACCTGAATGTTCTGGAGATTTTCCTGTTGTGAACTCGTCTGACCCGGAAAATCTCCTGCTGCGTAAAACACAAAATTGGTTTAAATTTTCTAAATCCAAAGAAACACGAATATACAAACAAATCCCCACAAAACCCAAAGAACATACAAATAAAGATAAATTGTATTGCTTGACACTGCTTTTAAGGGACATAGAGTAATTAGAGTGAGGAATAGTTTTCATTGAATGAAGATTCTTACATTTTTTTATTATTGGTGATTGGTTAAATATAAGCAGAGTATCTCACTGCTTCAGGTTCACTACTCCACTCCTCCAGGGCCTCCCACATTCATTATTCATGAGGGACTCACCATAACGTAGCCAAGAATTGTGGGTGAGACTGTTGCTTAACACATGCAAATGTGAAATCTCCACAGTAAGAAATTCAATTGTTCTGCTCTGCAGCCGAGCCATGATGAGCAATTATCACATGCAATCTAATTCTCGACCCCGTCTTTTGTCTTGTATGAATTTAGATATGAGCAATAAATTGTAGTAATCGTCAAGGTGGAGTGTGATCTACGGCGTGGAAGTTCTTCTTGAAAACAAAAGCCTTTACAAACCTTGCATGCCAGTCTGCTCCCGTTCCCTTAAGCTAATTTAATGACAAGCCATGAGATGAATTCATTGTCATTAGTCTCCACGTGATAGATGACGGTGAAAATTAAATATTCAAGCGTCTCAGTCCGACGTACCTCAGCAAAGTACGTCACCAGGGAGAGAAAGAGGGCGAAAAGAAAGTTGGGAGAGGGAGTGAGTGAGTGAGTGATGGGTGGCAGAGCCAGAGGGAGGACAAAACAGAGCAGCGAGGGAGGACAAATGGAGGAGTAGATGGAGACTGCCTGATTGGAAAATGGATCGGTGACAAAAACGCCACAGCTTGGAGCTAAGATTAGGATTCCATCTGTCTTGAATGAAATATTCAAACATACGCTGGTGAGAGGAGGCATATTACTAAAAGGATGGATGTGGAAGAATATATGAAACAATGACAGGCTCTTTACATCCACAGGGGTCAGCGCTCACCCAGACTGTTATTTAGCTCCGAGGAGGAGAGCTCGCATGATCCCCGGGCTAATGTGCTGATGAATTTGTGAGGAGACGGATAGGCAGGAACAAATTAATATGTTAGGAGGCATGTTTCTATAAACAGAATGACAGCGTGAACAGTTGATTATACATAGATCACACAGAATCCGTCTTGTACTTATCAGTCTTGTTTCTGCAATTACAGGGCGTTCAGACCAGAAACAGTCGTGTCTGTGCGAGGGGGAGATGTGTTTCAGATATTGATGAAACACTGAATCCGGGGAAAACAAAAAGAAAGAGAAAATTCTGAGCTACAAGGATCTCTATGTTTAACAGAGTAGGGATTTATAAGGCGTGAGGCCACAGGGGGTAGGTAATACAAGAAGGAAGGATTTTACAATTGCAGTAAACGGAAGATCCACATATGAGTAGTTACTAAAAACAATCTTAGTTTATACAAAAAGTACATTTGGAAACAGACAATCAAGATGCAATCAAAACCAAACACTTTGGAAATCATCTGCAGGACTCAGACTACTGGGTCTGGGGAGGCCTTCGTAGACCAGAGACTGCAAAGGCAGAGACGGAATGAGAAGGTCTGGTCTGTGGATGATTTCGAGTGCATCCCTTACCATGGCATCTTTAGCTATCTTCAGCAATCCACAATGCTAGCTTGTAGCTTTATCATCCATGCACAATGAATCCAGGGATAGGTTCCCCTAAATGGATCCACCCACTGGATCCTATGTTACTGCCTCTGAAGATGTGGCCCCTGAATGCCACAAGCTTGCATCGTCCAGCCAGTCCAGTTGAAATGAATGGCTCTTCCATCGTGCTCCTGCAGGGGGAGGCCCTTACATAGAGCATCACCATTAATCCTCAGAGACTGAGCGTAAAGAGTTTTGAAATGAATAAAGTGAGTTTCTTTGTGTCCCAGTCACCCGACAAGAGCATCGGTTCAGCAAAACTTTAACTTCATTCAGTGCCAGCATACTATAACATCCAGAGCCAACACTTTTTTTTTACGTTCTCCCTCTCTAAAATATCAGTTCTTGGCAGATACAGGATGATTTCGGAAAAATTGTTGTGGCAAATAAAATAGTAGTAAGGTATGATAAGGATGAGGCAACAAAACATTCCAGGGTTAAGGTTCGTGAAGGGGCAAGAATGCTGCATAGAATCTGAGACAATCTGACGATCTGACATTTACACCCAGTTCATGTAGTGATTGACCGGCTGTGTGGAGGTGAGACAGAGGGCAGTGATTGAACTTTTCTCTTAAGCCCACTATTTCTTATTTTGTTCTTGATAAAACTTTTTGGTGATTCTGAAACGGACACCAGACTTCTAGAAGTTGTTTAATGTTCTTTCTCCTCTCACTCTCTCTCCAAGATCTAGGGGTGGATCGGCTGGATGGATGAATTGTTGGTGAGTATAAGGGGTTGTTATTGTTGGGAGTATATATTCTCTAGTCCTACAACTGCAGATGTTATGATTTACTTTCTTTCAGCAAACTTTGACCGCATGAATGTAGCATCTTAGCCCCCTCCAGCTGCTGAGTAGTTAGACGAGCCTCCTGAATTTACATCTAGAAATCCATTAAAAGCTCTCATTAATAATTTCCACTGCAGGCCTCATAATTCTTGACATGGAGCACAGGGGGAGTAACTTGAGAAAACCTGACCAAGGTCCTTCCAAAAAGAAATAAAAAGGTAAAAATAGAATGGCACTCAGTAGAGCGCATACGTCCCCAAATCCCAACAGGCTTCATTTTCATTCAGGCATAGTTCTAAAACTGTCGAAGATAAATTGTCAATTCACCACTGAATTCAAACATTCTCAGCTGCACACTGTGTTAGTTAAAGGTTTGTAGCCCTGTTGTATAAAAGCCTAAAGAATTTGGATCTGCACCAACTTACTGATTTTTTCCAACAATGCCTTACTCCTAGGGAAATCTGTGAAAATGTCTGAGAAATGCCTTATTTTTAATGTTAATTAATGTTCAGAATGAATACAAAAATGTTCTGCCCCTTTCTGCAGATCTGCTCCAAAGTGTAATGGGTTCTTTCTTGGCCCATCCTTCCACCGAGTTTCATGGAATCAAGTCAGTAGATAAAACCAACCAACCAACCAACAAACAAATGGACAAGGGTTAAAACACAAGCTCCCAAAGGTAATAATAATATGAAATGATTTGCTTTGTGAGAAATTCCTCAGTCCCAGTGCTATTGTACAAGACATCACTGCCATCACTTGGGAAACGGGGGGACATGAACACATGCAGTGGAGGCTTTGTTTGGTTGGGATATGAGATATTGTCAAATATCAGGCCCATATCTTCATTTTCATTCCTGTTGCATTTCATTTATTTATTTATTTTTATAGTTGGTGGCTTCCCCCTGCTCCATCCCACTCATCACATGATAAAGGTGGAGTGTGGACACAGTGATTTGCATGCTTTAAAGTAATTTAGGAGTGACCTTCAAAAAGAAGGCAAAGAGTGCAAAACAAATAAGGCAACCAAAATGTCAGGACTGTTATGGGAGGCGGGATGTCATTAGGAAATGCAGCATAGCAGATCCACCTTAATTCCATGGGAATGGGAATCTATCAAATCAACAGAGCTTCATTACAAAGCAATCAGATGAGATGCATCTACAGATTTGCAAAAAAGATGACATTGTAGGAGGAAATGCTTTGGTGATATTTTAAATGTCATAACATTATTACTTCTTGGATAAGGCTCTTTGCATGGGGTTGACAACTGAGGACGAGGGAGATTAGCTTTGGATAAAGAGCAAGTTTTCTTTCATTTATTCTGTGTTTTTGTGTCTCCTGGGAATTCTCAGAGCAACATTTATTTTTTTCTGAATTAAGACCAATAATCAAGTGATACAAACTACAATGTAACTCCAAAAGATAACAACAATAGTTGAAGCTCATAGTTTTTTATATTAGCAGTGTTTCAAATTATTACGTTTGATGTGAAAGGGGCCGCTTGTTCGGATGAAGCCACAGGGAATTATCAGCTATCTGACTCTGCAGGTTCCCTCAGCTGTAAGGAGATTTTAAGTGCTTTCTGTCAGACCACAGCAAATATTGGACGTAGAGTATATTCACCAAATAGCCAGAAGAACAACTGCAAATAGTACTAGCCTTGCTCCAGGTGTGCTCAGTGAGCAACCATACGCAACCAAATCTTTTTACCCCCTAGAAAGTCCTTGTGTAGACGGAAGTACTTAAGTATAGGAACCTTTGCGGTGGTTTGGATTGATGAAGTACTCTAGTGTTTTATTTCCAACGGTCAAAATCTGCAGTAGCTCATAAAATCTGTTTTCTTACTGGAAGTCTAACATTTTGGGTTTTGGACAATAGTCTTGAGACCCCAGTGGAAACCCAGGCAAACAATGGTCTGCAGGTTTGTTGAAAATAGTTCCTGGGACTAAGCACTCTTTTGAATTGTGACTTTTGTGCCACATATGACACTGTTTATCTTACTAGTGTGTGTGAAAAGCAATTAATAATCACTTTTAAATGGTGCAACTTTGTTATTAAGTTGTTTGAAAAACTGCTTGTTTTTATTTTTATCCCAATTGCTGCTGGGTAAAAGTAATTAGACGATCTGCAACGGCGTTACTCACATAGTTGAATTGTGTGAAGGTGAACAATTACCATTTTGAGATGAATAAATTAGAGGAATGTAATTAACAGCCCATATTGAGTAGATGCCAAACCAAACTCTGGCATTTCAGAGGAGATCTAATCATGGGTTGATTAGTTTTGAACGTTGTTCTCAATGGGTGGGACATCTGTGGGCGCGCCGTTAAGGAGGGTGGAGCTTGCGGCAAAGGCTTCAAAGTTGAAGTCGCGGAGCCGAGTCTCTGTGTCGACCTGAAATAGTGCAGAGAGCAATCAGTGACATCTGTCCTGACCAAGGTGAGATAACGGTGAGCATGAGCCAGCACTGGGGAGAGTGAGCAGCTGGACGGAAGACTTCCATTACAACTTGTATCACCTGTGAGATAAAAGATTGAGATAACAGCAACATTTTCTTTCTTAATTATTTTGGCTTCCTCATCGTTTCATGCCGACCTCTGAAAAAAGCTTTCTCACATGTCTGGTGTTCTCGTCACGGCTTTCTTTCTTCTACACAATTCTTTTTTCTGGATGTTTGCACCTTCTTAACCAAAAGCGGGCAAAGGGTTCTTTGAAAACAAGAAAGAAGAAAATGACAAGTAAACAATCTCAGGTCCTTTTTGTAAAATTTCTTTTAAAGTGGATTTTCTTCTTCTATCTCTGATGGGATCCCTTTGTTCAGGCTCTTCAGAACAAAAGTAAATGTGGGGGGGAAAAAAAGCAATCAGTGTCATAAAGCAAACAAGCTGATTTAATTTGATCAAACTTTTTTTATTGGCTGAATCGGTCTAATTAAGGCAGCGTTTCAACACTTTAAGAGAGATTGTTTTTTGTCTTTGCATAAAGCAAACGTGGGCAAATAGAGAATTTAAATGAGGGATATTCTTCTTTCAAATGTTACTTGATTGCCTCTAATACTTCATACTGTATTTTCCGAAGTAAACTGAGCCACTGAAGTGTAAGTGCTTGGTGTTAACAATAGTTTAAATGAAGCAAGCCGGATACTTTTCCCTGAGTTTGTTGGAATATTCGAATGTGAGCAAAAATCGCTGAGTAAAAGCTCCATGTTCTTTTCAATAGCTTGAGTTGGCCGAGTGTGAAAACACTTCAGATCTGCAACGCAAGTATGACCGGGCATGTAGATTCATTTAATATGTTTGAAGCACTTGAATGTGGAAGGAGGAGAAAGTTAAACGCTTGAGACAGAGTTGTGTTTTGAGGGAGCACTTTGTCCTTGGTGAAAACGCAATGTACAACACAAAGAATGTGGAAATAAGACAAGAAATGAGAAAAAGGGCCTCACAGTATCTCAACAGTCCCCCCAGGCCCAGTGGAGGACTCTGCACTGCCCACGATCATAAATCCAGATCTGGGCTCTGTGGTATAGGGGCAGCTCCGTGCCTGCAGCTTCCAGATGATTCCTCTCTGTCTCCCTCCTCCTCCTTTTCCACTTTATATATTTATTTTTTTAGCCACACTGTACCTGTTGGAGAAAAGCAAAATACATCCTACAAGCCGCGTGGAGGCCAAGTCACCACCAACTCAAAGGATGTTGATCACTTGTGTCTTATCGCAGGCAGAGCCAGGCCACCCCTTGTGAATTAAAAGAGAAATAGTATCTCGCTCGCTCATTTTTCACCGCCCAGAGATGTTCGGTTGCTCCCTTTCTTCCGGCTCCTGTGCCAGAGAGATAATCCGGGCCCATTCCGGGCAGCAGAATCCATCTTTCTCAGGGTTTTGGACTGCTAGTCCTTGGCTCCTCTGAGGTCATCGGTATCCAGACCGAACTGAACCTTTTTGGGGGGGGGGGGATTAATACTGTTTTTGTTTCCACTTCGTCTGATGCCAAAAGTGTAAGATTCTTCTCATAAAGACAACAATGCTCTTTATTTCCTTCAAGTTATTAAACCACATTAAATGAAGGTTGTTGTTTTCACTTTTCTAACTCATGTGCTCGTTTTACTTGTGGCAGATATATAACTATGAGTTAATTACTACCTGTCATGAACTTTAATCCACATGTCAGTTCCATTCTACCGACAGGTAGATGTTGATAAATACACATATATGTGTGACTTACTTTATCGTCCAGTTATTTGAGGTTAAACATCAATCATTATTAAAGTGTGTGAACGTAAACTGTGTTTTTAAAAACTGATGACATGTCTCGACTCCCTCCCACTGTCCAGAAATGAAACCGGATACAAGCGCTGCCATCTTGTGGATTTGGAGCTGGAGTCTGTGCCGTAACGTTCGGGGGGGTGGAGTCGTGGTAGCGAGGTCCCACCAATACACATGCTTGACGAATGGTGAGTAGGTCTCAGCTGTCATTCGTGATGTTTGACCCTTTTTTCATATTATCAAATAACTAAATAGAAACCAATCTCACCGGAAACATGAGGATGTGTGATGAGAACTTCCTAAAATGACAGAAAATGTAACATTTAAATTGACTTTTTAGTTTGGTCCATGTCTTGTTAACTAACACGGAGAAGTCGGGATTTATGACCCATACTGAGGCCGGCCACCAGGCGATGAAGACTCTCTGGTTTCCCCTCTTTGGGAGCAGCCCTGTCGTTCATCTTTTATATACAGTCTGCAGTGGCAAGTCTTTTTGTCCGAGGAGAAAATATAGGTTTCTCTACTTCAAAGGTTCTCATCAGCAGTCTCAATAGATGGAGAGAAGAAAAAGTCCCTTCAAATCCTCTGAAATTACCATATCACTTTGAGAACACCTAGACTGAAGGCGCCTCGGCAGTGATCTGAGCTGACCTGTAGT